GGGATAGCTGGGGGTCCGGAAGAAGCCAGCGGGTAGGGGAGGTTGCATTGGCGTCGCACCTGGCGTCTGAAACCCGTCGATTTGTTAACCTGCGCCAGAGATGTGAGATCCACTATATAATTGTATCCATGGGGGCCCAGATCTGCTGTGCCTTGGCGAGCCTGATAGCTGTGCTCCAAAAGGATAGAGGTTCGCGTCTCATATGGGGTCCATCCTCCTTCATCGTTGGCCCATTCCCAGTAAACACCACTACCAAGACCGGAGGACTGGGCAAACAGAGACCGGCGTACTGACCGGGTCTTACCTGAAAAGAAAAGAGGCACATTGATTTTTAGTGAATAAACGGTATTAAAACTGCAACGTTGTGTGTGTGTGTGTTATGTTTTTAAGACATAAACGAAAAGCCCCTTGTTCATTCACTTGTATGCCAGAACTAATGACACATTACATACATGGCTATGACTTAATTTTAAACACACATACAGACACACAAAATTATGACAGTTTAAGACACACCAAGCATTTTTAGATGTTAATCTCACAATGTTGTGACGTATTTCATGATTTGTAGCTAGGTTCACGTAAAAATGTCGCTAAAGAACTGTAACTTTATGGATACTTCTCAGTTTATATGAATCATAACAACAGCGCCCTGCAAGCTAATGCTAGCCGGCTAACGTTACAGCCAACCGGGCCTGTGAGGTTTGAGGCAAAACTGTTAACGAGGAATAAACGTTAAGGTCATGCCATGACGTGTTAGATATGTTTACCTGTGTCCTGTCGAAACTGCTTCAAGCTTGGTATGTCAATGAGGTAAGGCGACAGGCTGGGGTCTGATTGTCCGAGACAGATGCTCGTAGAGCCGGGTGCTCCTCCTCTGTGGCCCCGCGGTGACAGACAACGCTCGATGTAGGCGCTCACCTGGCCGCTGTAAGGCCGCCAGTAACCCTGGTCATCCTGCCATTCCCACACCGCTATCATGGGCTGAGACTGCCCGACAGATCCAGAGGGTGTAGCTGACACAGGAGGTCCGTTTCTAGACCCGTTTACCCTGGCACAGGACCCAGACACAATTGCCATTTTCGCCAAAACTAGCCCGAAGCTAACAACAACTCGTTCTGGTTAGCTAGTCAACCGTTTGTGGCTGCGACGAAGACAAAGTGTGCTAGCTGGGCTAGCTTGGCTCGTTAAAAAAATTCCATTGTGAATGTGTTAACGCGCCTTTGAGGAAGCTATGAGGTAGGTATCAGTTGGTAAACACTCCAGATAAACACATAAGTACATGTTTGCGAAGCTAATGCATTCACACGGTTTAGCAGTACATGGTTAACGTTAGCTTTGTTGCGGCGTTGCCAGGAATCCGTCCTTCTTCTGCCGCTGCGTTCAGGGACCGTCGGTAATATCACAACTCAGCTCGTCTCAATCTGAAACAGAAAACGTACAGAAACCGTAGGTTTCCCTTTCTGAAAGCTATATTTATTTTAGACCACAGTGACACAGACTATGACTGTATTTAATATCCTTTTTTGTTGTGATTTTTTTTGTTTTGATTAATTCTTTAGGTTAAGTATCAGATTCATTTTTTTTATTTATGATGTAAAGGGTGGTATATGTCAGCGGCAAGATTTAGGGCAAAAATACAATACAGCGATAGAAATACTTGACACAGAGACAAGCGGACATTCCAGTATCAATAGACACAGGCACCAATGCCCCATCACAAAATTTATATTTTATACTAAGAATTTAGTAAGTAAGTAATTATTGCTTCACTTAATTTTTTTCCTAAAGGCTAGGCTTTTATTTTAACTCAACATTTTTCCCCCCTCTCACACCTAATTTCAGTTTTTAATTTGGTTTAACTATAATAACCGTATTATAATAATATCCACTATTTGTAACAAGGGGCCCATATGTGTGTAAGTGAAATCTCATCAAATACATCTAATGTCTTTTTGTGAAATGAAATTGTGATTAAAATGTTTCCGGGTGAGATCTGGAGCCGCAAAGATCTGGGATTTTTTTTTATTTTATTTTTTTTAATCTCAGCCGATAACACGCAGACAGTCTTCATTCCTTGGCTCAAGTGGTGGTGCAAAGTGATGATTTATTTAAGGCATTGCGGGGGTGGGGGTTGGTAGTTCTTAAGGTGGAGCACCATTTCTCATGTCAGATGATTAAAACAAAAGCTTTTTGTGCACACCTCACCTCTAAAAATTTCACTTACAAGGTGCGCATGAAGGTTGCATTCTTCTTCTTTCACACTATCCCCCTCTTCTTTCCCTGCTTCTGTATTCAAAGGAGATTAGAACCCCCTCAGTAGTATTTCTGCCCTCAACTGGAGATAAATGGGTATGACACAAATAAGTGCATATGAAAATCTACCAAACGGCCTTCTAAAACCTCAGGCTGGTTGCTTGAGTAATTACTAATTATTAACCAGACACCACTAAACTGAATGCTGCCCAAAATTCCAGTGCTAGCACAGGTATAAGATTAAAGATGGCGATAAATGGCTTTGTGATCCATCTGCCACCCAAACTAGATTATTACTGGATCTAGTTTGTAAGTATGGTGTTCATTAAATTCTGCTACGTGATAATAGAACTAGACAGTTCTGACACCAGTGTGAACATTGATTAAAGTAGTGGCCAAATGGGATTTGAGCTTTCTCCTTAGCCCACAAAGTGACATATAATCAATAGCCAAGCCCATGCCAAGTAGTTTCAAAGTGACAAATGTAATAATAATAACTAATAAAGACGAGGATCTGATGTTTCAATATAAAAATAAAACCATTCATCTATGGTTTTTCTAATGTAACTAGAACACATTGTCTCCACAAGCACACACAAAAAAATGACAGTAAAAAATGATGCAAGCAGCCATTATTTGGTTTGAAGACCGAGTCAAATGATTTAGCAGTGAGAACATTGCTTTGAGTCATCTTTTCCTGAGGTCTGCTCTTAAAGTCCTGCAGTTTAAATGTTTTCAGATTTATCAGTGTTAAATTAATTTATGGCATCTGATGTTCTTGTTATTTTTCGTCTTTGTCTTGCGTGCAACAAGAACGCAGAAACACTGGAAAACACTGGAACATTTGCAGTCCCTATGCCCGCATGACATAGAAACTTTTTTTAATAAATCTATCTGTGCACACCGTTTTGGTTTTATTAGCTGAAGTTGTGAAATATGCATTTGAGATTTTTTGTCTTCTTCCTCAGTACAATGAAGGTAACTGGAACTTTGTTTGTGGTGCCTGCAGCAATAAGAAATGACATTTAAAAATTTAACAGGAACAGAAGCAGTGTCCCTGCAATAATCCACAGGCATCACTATGATTAGGTTTCTAGGGGCGGTTTTCTCTCTTTCTCAGCCCACTTAAACAATCCTGGTTGTAGCTGAAGGTCACACGCTTCTTAAAACTGAGAAAATAGAGTTGAACGAGAGCCACGGTCCAGTTATTCTGTAAATAAGCAAAATAAATTTTAAAAAAGCATGCTTAGGCACAGTGACTAGTTTGTGCCCACTTTTTAGGCCTGTGACAGCAGGGATGGGCTTCAGCATGCCTGTGACCCTCAGCTGGATGAGAAGTTAAGAAAATGGAATAATAGAGCAAAGGAGCTTAAAGCTCCAGCAATACTTTTAGAATACAGAACAATTTCATTCTTTGACAGACGTGTCTTGACTTGGGGCCTTCATCACGGTCATCACAACACAAATTACAGACAACATTTTAAGGAGAGTCAAAAGGATGAGCAAAGCTGCCCGCATGTCTGCTGTTTCCTGTGATACAGGATCAGAGTCTTGCACTTAAAAAACATTTTTTAATCATTAAAAAATACAATTAAAAATGATTTTGTCACAACTAGCAGATGAACCTGCTATCAACATGCAGGTAAAAAGACCACCTTTCAAATGCTACTTTTCAAATTATCATTATTAGTTTTTTGAGTTTTCTCCAGTGAATGATCAGAAAACAGATTAAACATTCACAAACATTAAATTAGTTTTGCTATTGAACT